TAATTAAATTTAAAAGAACTAAAATAATATTAACATCATAAAAAAATAATAATAGAATTTATATTTCTTTTTAAATCTACGTTTAATCTAATCAAATAACCTTAACATGAATTTTTTATTAACACTTATCTATTAACAAACAGATTATAACTTAACCGACAATCTTAACTACAACAATATTTAATTAAGATCTAAATATAAATTACAAAACTTAAAAATATTTTTTCATATATATATATATATATATATTAATATTTTTATTAAATAATTTAAAAATAATATTATATTTATGTATTAAAATAAATTAATAAACTAAAACTACTTATTAATAAATCCATGACCTAATCTATTTTGCCTTTCTGTATCTTTAACCAAGTGATGAATCTAGTCAAACTACTCTCAGCATAAGTTTGAAAATAATTTAAATATTTAAAAAAAAATAGAAACAGTGAGGTAGTAGTATTTTTCTTTTTATACGTCGCTTTCCATGACTGACACTTTCTTCGTGGACAAAATATGGCATAATGCATGTTCTTCACGCAATTTACTTGTGAAAGTAGGAGAAAATTATTAGGTGATTTTTATCCTTTTTAATTCATTATCTCAATCAATTTCAAAATTATATGGATTTCCATTTTTAATATAAATAAAATAATTAAAAATATTTAATTAGATTATTATATAAAAATGGATCGAGATAATTCACAACTATCCAATAATTTCGTATATTGAATCCATTATTTCAGTTTCCCTCCATCACAAATTCTTCCTCAATTTCTCCACCTCCTCATCACTTATTCACAAGTATTTTCAATGTCCTTGGTCACTACTTAGAATTTTTTGTGCCTTTTAAAGTTGAAGTTATGGCCACCCTTAATGGAGAGATATTTTCAACGTGGTCCCCATTAATCATTATCTCTGTGATTGGATTTTAGTTTCATTAAACTCAATTATCTTTCAATCCAATCCATTTTTTAAAAGCTTAATTTATCTGTTCAATGCTTTTCTGACTGATTTTCAATCACGCTCTAAATATTCTTATAAGTTCGCATTTGTTTAAAGTTATCATTTTCTATTAATAGGAATAATATTCAGGAATATGTAATCGCATAAACATGTTTGATTGATATTTAATAATTAAATCAAATTAAAAAATAAAGAGAAAAAGATGTAAAAACATGTTTTACTATGTTGACAACTTTGTATTATCATATAATACAGATGCAGAAACAAACATTTCCCACAATTAATTGTTATATTTCAAGACCTGTTTTGTCATAACATTTCAAAACATGTGTTTTAGGGTTTGACCTCAAAATATCTACAACTGACGTTGTTTGAAAAAAAAACAAATTAAAGCTAAAATTTTCCCAGAAAAATATCCGAACATGGTGAATAGTCAATTATTGCTGTTTGGCAACTCAATAAACTGCGTTTACACCCAAATGAGTAATTTCCTTTCAAATTTTATAACTATATTTTAAGAATTTTTTTAAACTGTTTTTATCTTAAAAGTTAAAACTGAATTGTTTTTTTTTCTCCTTTTAATAATTGTTACAGTTGATTAAGAATTATACAGTTATTAAATATTATATATCTTCTTTAACTATATATATATATATATATATATATATATATATATATTATCATATAATGAATATATATTTTAATTTTAATTTTCAACTTAGTATCAAAGACAATAATTTTTTATATTAAATCCTTTGAATTTTTGAAAATGAAGGGAGTAAAATTTTGATTATTTAGAATAAAATTAATTTGTGTTGTACAATAAGAAGGAGATTTTAATGTTATTGTATCCGAATATGATATTTGTTCATACTTGATTGAGATGCACATGGTCAAAAGAGAGAATTTCTTTTCATATTTGTGGCAAAATGAAATCTCCAAAATTATAAGATGGACATGAAAAACATTATCCAAAAATTATGATGTAATTGGAGATTAATATTTATATCGATAACTCAAACCATTTATCAGATACTTGAGTTATATCTAATAGTAAAATATTATAAATCAATAATGTATTATAGGAAGTATTGGTAATAGGAGATGAAAAGTTCTTATGAATAAGAAAATCATCTCTTTACAAATTAATGAAACTTGGAATCTTGTTGAATTATCTTTAAGAAATAAGATAATAGAATGTCATTGATTTGCTCATAGTCAAAATTAACATATTTCAGGTGTGTTTTCTTGACAGTAAATCATAACTACTCATATCTTTGTAATTAAAACTCCCACCCCATGATAATCAATAAACATAATGAAATATATGCACTAGTAGAAAATAATAAACATGGTAATCAATAACTTATACAAAATAATATCCGATCACAATACCTTAGAGTCCGAGGCTGATACTCCAACCACTAAGCTACTAGGATTTTTCGATAATAACTTATACATAAATTATATTTATATACAAATAAAAATATATATCCATGTAAATATATAAATATAAAATATAAAATATAAAAAATACAAATACAAATATATTTATATATTTATATGTTGGATGTAAGGGCGCGCTCGAGGATGAAAGTGTGTGTCGAGTGAATTTTCAAAATTTGATGTCAAATTTGTGAAAGGATTTCTTTATATGGATTATAACTTAATGACAAAATATAATCTTTATAATTTATTTATATAATGATATAAAATAAATTTTTTTCTTTATTTTATATCATTATATAAATTAATTATAAAGATTATATTCTATATCATTATAAATAAATTATAAAGATTATATTCTATCATTAAATTACAAATTCATATAAAGAGACTCGCTCACAAATTTGACATCAAATTTTGAAAACCCACTTGACACACACTTTCACTTTCACTTTCGAGCACGCTCTCACATCCAACATATAAATATATTTGTATTTGTATTTATATATTTTATATTTATATATTTACATGGATATACATTTTTATTTGTATATAAATATAATTTATTTATAAGTTATTATTAGAAAATCCTAGTAGTTTAGTGGTTGAAATATCAGTCTTTAATTCTAAGATACTTGGTTTGAATCCTATCAAGTAACAATTCTCTTAATTTTATAAAAAAAAAAGTGATTTTTGCAAGTGATGTATACGAATTGAAGACAGATGGTTAGTCTTTAGTTACTTCTAATTTGTTAAAACTAATATTATTGTATTTATAAGTAAAAAAAATAAAAATTTATTTCTCACTTATGCAAAAGCTAAATTTAAAAATTCAACATTTCAAATTTGTAAATGTTTATAATTAAACTTTTTCTTATAAGAACTTAGATAACTATTTGACTGTGTAGTGATAATAAAGATACGTGATATTTTTCACGATAAAAATTATGAAAATAACGCGTATTCATATTTCATAGAATATTTTCACAATTTTTTTTATAAAAATTCAAGAAATAAGTTTTTTTATAAATTTAAATAATTTTTTTAATTTACAAAAAATAAATAACTTCTTAGTAGAGAAATAGATATTATTTATAAATAAAAAATTTGAAGAAAAATTATAAAATACCAATGATTTATTGAGAAATTTATTTGGTAGATAAAATTCAAGTAAAATAAAATATCTTCAAAATAATTTCTCAAGTTAAGTATATAAAATTTGTATAGTTATCTAATATTGTAATTTTATTAATGATTTATTTATTTATACATGTGTACGTAATTATTAATAAATACATTGTAGTTATAATTGAATTCATATGTAACAACCATCTTGAATGATATGTTTTTTTTTTTTTTAACTTTCTAGAAAGTGTTGTTTTGTCAATCATTCAGTTTCATATTGCTACGCATGCGAATCTGTTATTAGTCCAAATTTTATAGCATTTCTATTTACTCATTTTTATTCTATTTATAATATTTTTCTCTAAGTGTCAATTTTCCACTAAGAACCATCACGATTCTCACTAATCACCATCACACTATAAAAAATCACACACGAACAAACGGAGGTTTCTCGACGATGAGCTTCACCGTTCCATGCTATTCAAACTGAATTTTGGCAACCATCCCTTCTTTGTCTTCTTCATAAAAAATTAAATGACTAAAAATGTACCCCAACTTCATGAAAAATAACTTTTTCTTTTTTAAACAAAATACTATATCAATAAATTTGCTTTTTATTTAACTAGTCTTTTTCCTGATTTTGCAATTGTTAATAATAGGATTAGCATCCTTAAAATATATATATATATATATATATATATATATATATATATATATATATATATTTTAACTATTAAAATTTGAAGAAGACAACTTATTCATTACAAAGAATAAAAATTGATGAGGGTTCGTTTTAAGTAACGGATGTCTTGTCGACCTTAATTTGTAACGCTATATAGAAGCTTCAATAAACTTTTTTTTTTAAATTAATATTGTTTAATTACTATTTTATAGTAAATTATTATTAAAATAATATTTTAGCTAAAATAACTTCTTACTTTTGTAAAATTAAATTTTAAATATTTTAATATTTATTATTATTATTATTATTATCATTATTAGTAAAAAACTAATTTATGTGTGAAATTAATTTCAGATAATGTATTTAGTTTCTAAATATATTATAATTTTATTTATTATGAATTTTAAGTTGACGCAAATATGGTTTGGCGCTATATAAAAAATAGTAGTTGTTTAAAAAATAAGTTATTTCAACAAAGGTAGAATGATCTCGATGAAGAAAAGGTATTCATGAAAGCTTGGCTCTTGGATTAACAAGTAATGAATTCAATTTTGAATTCGACCATTCAACCAATGTGTCCTTGGACTGAAATCTATTTATCCAATAACCACTCTTGTTATTTGTTTTGTTCATGCCTGTAGTGTGTCACGTGGGGTTACCAAACATCAAATACTTTACACCTCCACTTTCTTATAAATACTCCTCTCGTTTGGTGGAGTAGTATCACCAAAACATACTTATTAGACAGCAATCTTCCCACACCTATTGGCTACCCTCACCCATGGCTAATTTCAGAACTTTCTTTCTTCCCCTAATCCTTTCCTTCCTCTTCTCTTCTCTTGTTAGTGCCACTTTCTACCAAACAATCTCTCCAACGCTTTTGCGTTCTCAGGAGAAGCTCACACACATTCGCTTTTACTTCCATGAGCTTATCACAAACGAAAAACCCTCCCTCATCATAATCGACCCTCCTAAGGTTATGTCCAACTCTCCCCTTCCATTCGGCTCTCTAGTGGTGATCGAGGACCCGTTGACAATTGGGCCTGATGTTGAGTCCAAAAGGGTGGGAAAGGCCCAAGGGTTTTACCTCTCTGCAACCCAAAGGCCTGGTTTGGATTTGGAGATAGTAATGGGGATGACCTTGACATTCTTGGAAGGAGAATTCAATGGGAGCAGTTTGAGTGTGTTGGGGAGGAACGAGATCATAAACCCAGTGAGGGAGATGCCAATTATTGGTGGCACGGGTGCTTTCCGCTTCGCACGTGGCTATGTTCTGGCTCGGAGTGTCAAGGTTGATTACCACAAAGGTGACGCCACCGTCGAATACAATGTCTACGTCTACCATTATTCCTCCACCACCTCTTCCTCTCATGACTGTTTCAACGAGGGACTTCAGTTCATGACCGACCCTATTCTTAGCAAGATATAAACTTTTAATCTGCATGATTTTCATCCTAGTTTGGTTGATAGACTTTATTTATGTGTTCCGGTTGGTTTATAAACTTGCAAAATTGGTATTGAAAGTTAGAACTAAACTAACTTCATTCATACAATACAATTTTCGTTGGTTTTAGGCTAACTTGCGCACGTAAGTAAGTCAAGAAATTAGACTACAAGTGGGGAAAAAAAAAATATCCAAAAACAAGTTTTTAAAACTATGAATAATTGTGTTATCGAAGTGTTTGATGTAGTGCAAGTTGCATATCTAAATAATGTGCTCTCCAATCATTTTTCTCGGGAGATGTTGACCGTTGTCTGTGTTCATTGTGTAACAGAAAATAGAGAGAGAAAGAGGGAGAAAAATATATTCTCATGATGTAATGCATATGAATAATGTCGAAAGAAATGACGTGAAAGTAATGTATTTGTCTATCTACATATTGGTATTTTGTCCCAATGATACTTTGCTTAACGTAGTGCAAATTCCTTGCTTGTTACGTTTAATTTTAAGTATTTTTTTTCTAAAATTTTAAATATTTTCTTCTAATTTTAAAGACTTGGTGTTCATAATAAAATATTTGTTTTAATTTTTAAGTAATTCTTTTTAAAAATGTTCTTTATTTTCTTAACAAGCGATTAAAAAAATGTTCTTTATTTATTGTTTTAATTTTTTTACGCGTAACATCTTAGGTTTAGTTAAAACTATTGAATGTAATTTTCTTTTTAAAATTAATAATTAATTAAGATAAAATATATCAATTCTCGGGATATGAATCTAAGTGAAATTATGACCTGGCCCACGAAAATTAAAGAAATATTATAAAAAAATAGTTTCTAGAGTTATTTACGAAACAAATATACGAAATTTATTAAATTTTAACAATAAAATCACACTTGGAATAATAATGGAAGGAAAGATTATTGTATTCTACTAATGATTCTTGAAACTAAAAGGATATACTTTATAACATCCAAATGTCAAGTAGTTTGTGGAGACATTTGTTTTATTTATTTATTTGACTTAATATCGGCTTATTAATGTCCTACAAGGTGGAACACAGACAAGTTTTTCAATCTTTGGTATAGAATTTTTTTTAGTTAAATTTTTTAAAAAATTTAAATTTATTCAAACCATTGATATTTAAGTGTGTTTTCAATTTTAATATTTCTAATAAATTATATATACATTGTAAAATAACTTTTAAAATTAATATTGCATTTCCCATTTTGTATTTTTGAGGTCTCACCAACTGCCGACCCCGTTGTTTCGCTATCACCCGAGCCTCTTCATCACCTTCACCTACCCGTCCCCCGAAAATGTCAAATTCGAACAAATTGCAGACATCATGGTAAGAGCATTTTTAAAGAACAAAAGATTTTTTATTTATTTAAAAGATCTTGTAAACAAAACAATAAAATTAACAATATCTCATTAACTAATCGTGGAGGGAACCGTTGAAATCCATTAATCACCGGGAAGGAACCATTAAGGCACGTGACACTTTTAACACGTCCCTTCTCACAGAATCCAATAAATGATATTCTTAACCCATAACAAAATAATTCTTAATGTAAGATAATAATCGGAAAACAAAAGTATTTTTCATCCGTAAAAAGAAAAAAAAAACTCTTTTTTTTAATCTTATTTTGTTCTTAAGAAAATTATCAATTATTAAGTATTTAAAATTTTCATATGCAAATGTGATTATCTCTTGTTTAATTTCATTCTTTTATACTATCGTAGTAACTATTTTCAAATTTCTTTTTATTATATTTATCATAACATGATGATTTATTTATTTAATATATTATTTAAATAATAATATACAGATAACATTTTTTTAATCTTATGTGGCAGAGTAAAATTAAAAAGAAAATATTTAATATAAATTTGGATTTTCAAAATATTTAAGTTAGTAAAAATTTAAGAAAAAAAAAACAATAATAAACTTTACAATCATGGACCTATATAGCATCAAATTTTTTTTATAGAAAACCTAATCTTAACTTAATTATTATATCAATTTTTTTCCGTTTTTTAATCATATTTTGTATTCATAAGAACTTCAGAATACAAAAAATAGTAAGTATTTAAAATTTTTATATGCTAATGTGGCTATCTTTTAATTAATTTCAAACTTTAATACTCTCGTACTAATTATTTTCATCTTTCTTTTTTATGTTAAATTTCTCCTTAGATATGAACTTATTATTATATGATTATACAATTTATCTTTAAATGACTTACTGACTTAGTCTATTATTTAAAGAATGGCAGATAGATAACATTTTGTTTGTTTTAAATTCAATATATTAAATTAATTAAATGAGCACGTACTTAAGAATTTGTCAAGACTCTTCTTTTAAAAAGTAAAGCATAACGCATTTTTTTTCCAACAAAAAATAACTTCTTCCTTAAATTACATGATAGATATCAACTAGTCATAATCATGTGAATCGGTCATGTTTCAAATATTACAATACTTGTAGATTTTATAAGTTGAACTTGTCAAGAAGTTCATTTCATTTTTTCCACTTTTACCAATCTTTCCGATCACACTTTAAGTCAAAGCATGCATGACATATATAATTTTTTATCTTAAAGCATGCGTGGCGTATGATACATAATCTTGTATGTTAAATTTAAATTTAATTATAATTCATGAATATTATTAATGATTTTTACATTGTGTAGCAGTGTATGTACACTGTAAAAAAATTTACATTATTATCTAAGCATAAATTACCATACATATATGTTTATTGATTTTTATAGTAATTAATTCATATTGTGATTTTTTATTGGTTAACTATATAAAAAAATACATTAGAATTAAAATTTTTATACTATTATTTAATTGTAAATTATTTTTATGATAAGTTTATTAACTTTCATAACTATTCAAAGGTCATTCTTCACTAATTTAAATTTGATTATCCAAGAAAGAATTTACACTAATATGACATCAAAATTAAACTATTTAAATTTTCTCATAAATATATATATATATATATATATATATATATATATATATATATATGTTCTTTTTTATTTCTTTTAATATTTTTTTAAGTTTAGTTGTATTTATAATATTTATTTATTGATCAAATGTTACGATTTTAGCCTTTCATAGTTTTTATTTTTACTTTACCATGATTATCTTTTCTTTTAATCTTCACATACATGTCTTCCCTCGTGTTATTTCATAAAAAAGAAAAAGAAAAGAAAAAATCATGTTCTTATGTTTAACTCAAATAATAGGAAAGTTGTAGAAGATTCAATTAGGACAAAAGATAAACATATTACAATATAAAAAAACTGGTGACTTAAAAAATTTTAGAGATATCAAATATATAAAATAAAATTATATATATATATATATATATATATATATATATATATATAAGAAAAAATTAGAAGAGTTAAGGCTCCTTTTAACTCGTATAAAGCTCCACTATTTAAGATCCGACATATTTTTATTTTATTTGTGAAGAAGGGTTTGAATTATCAGAACATATTTGACAAAAGGTCTAAAGTATAATTAAATTTAAGAAATCGAATGGTAGCTAAGGAGTCAAAATCACGCATAATATAGAAAGCATTAATCACAAGTCTTAAGTAACCTTATAGCTTTAACAACATTTTAATTTGCAAATAATTAATTTTATTAATTTATTCATTATATTATAATATTATATAATGTTTAAAGCTGAAGTTGCAATTTTTAGAATTATTAAATATTTCATGATGTCTATGCATCTTTCTCTTACTAAGAATTATTAAGGTAAATCGATATGTCCTATTATTAATGATATTTCATATAATATAATTGGTGTCTCAAGTGAGATTCCTGAACATGCAAAGTGTAAGAACTTTTACGAATTTTATAGAAAATCACCTGAGTAATTTTTTTTATATATATTAATATTGCAAATGCTATTAAAGAATAACTTAAAGCTAAGTGTACAATCAAGAAAAAAGTTTATTTATTAGATTTTTATTAAGTTAAGGTATTTTCACAATTATATATATATATATATATATATATATATATATATATATATACACACAAAACTATACTGATCAATTATCTAATCATAATCTTTGATATAAATAAATAAAAAATGTTTAGTTTTATTATATACAATTTTTTTTAATTTAGATTTGTTTAATTTTGTCCCAAATATTTACTTGGTATTTTAATAAATTTTGTATTTGATTTTTTTATTATATGTAAAATGTTGCAAAAAATAAATAAATTGTAAACGACTCTTAGGTTGCACTATAATACTTTTGCACATCCATATTTAATAATAATAATAATAATAATAAATAATAACTTGTATCTGATGTTAACATGTACAAATTGATAAAATAAAATAATGATGCTGACAAACAAAAAGCAACCAAAACTCACTAGTTATATATTAAGAAAAATCCTGTGCTGGGAGGTTACAACAACCGAGTATGCAGACTTTCACACCCCTCCACTTGTCATAAATTGTCTTCTATTAGACTCAGTGTACGTAATTAGGCAAGTATACATAATCTAAGAAATAGAGGATTGTCTCAACCTTGCAACTGGATCAAGATAATAAGTCATGAAATATTGGAGGTCTTGGATTAACCATTAATCAATTCAACCACCTTCAACTAATTTATTTATCCACTAATTTTTATTTTATTGTTTAGCACATACCTATAATTCACAAGGTTATTCCAAACATCAAAGATTTTTTCAGACCTCCTCGTTTTCGTAAGTAAAACAGTCCTCTATTGAGTAGCATCACTCTACTTACTTACCAACTAAATATACAACTAGAGAGGGTTGTCTCAACCTGCAACAGGATCAAGTGGTAGGTAGGTAGTGAAGAATGCTTGGGTTGTAGCAACAACTAATCAATTCAAAATTTTAAATCCAACCTCCTTTGACTAACACTTGTATTTATCCAATAATAACTAGTAATTTATTTAGCAATTTGATGTGC